TTTGAAAAACAGTTTGTCAGATTATCAAATGCTAGTTTAACCTTGGACACTGTGCACTGATGTCTGCATCATGTGTGTGTTTAGATCACAAGTCTTGTGCAGAAACAGGTCAGGAGCTGATGAGACCATACCTTCACGAGTTTCTGACATCAGCCTACGAGGATTATGACATTGTCATCTGGTGTATGTCTCTTCTCTTTTCTTCATCTTAAGATATCTGAATTGGACTAAATTGCATTAGAAAAGTATAAGAATTGGTTGTTGAAATATTTATGATTACATTTCTTTGAAAATGCAACATATACTTGTACACCATTTTTTGGCATTACAATTATTGGACAGCTTAAACTGTGTCTTAACATATCTTGTAGCCATTAGTTGTTCTAATTTCCCTGTTTTTGTTTGTATAACATACAGTTTATATTTTTCCTTTCTTTAATTAGCTGCTACAAGTATGAAATGGATAGATGCCAAAATGAAAGTAAGTATTTTGTACTTGTGTTCTTTATTAATGTTTTAAAAAATGTAATAATCATTATTTCCATTACTTTGTATGCCATTTATGCCAAACGATTCAGTGTTAGTCAATTTGACAAACAGTGACTAGGTTTGGAGAGAAAGAGAAGATAACACTACTGTGTATATATGTGTGTTTGTGTAGGAGCTGGGAGTGATAGACAACCCTAACTACAAGATTATGTTCATCTTGGACAGTGCAGCCATGATCACAGTACACACCCCTAAGAGAGGGGTTGTGGAGGTTGGCATACACACAGCTGATCATAAATAAAAATCTTGGCTTGTTTCAATGCAACATTACTGATGTGAACAAACCGTTCACAACAGAAAGGAAGTGTTTATTTTAGGTTGAATTGTTGCTTTGTGAGAATGTGATAGCACTGATTTAGTGTGTTTGATGGCATGGATGTTTACAGGTGAAGCCTTTGGGTGTGATATGGGGAAAGTACGGAGAATTTTACAATAGGAAGAACACTATTATGTTTGATGACATTGGACGAAACTTCCTCATGAACCCACAGAATGGATTAAAGGTACGTGGCCAGCGTCCTCTTTACTAATTTGACCCTCTCCTCTTCCTCCTCCTCATTATTAGCATTATGCATACAGTTTTCTGAAACTTATTTAGTGTTTGTGTATTAGATTCGACCCTTCATGAAGGCCCATCTTACCAGGGAGAAGGACAGAGAGCTGTATAAACTAGCTCAATACCTTAAAGAAATTGCCAAGCTTGATGACTTCAGTGGACTCAACCACAAACACTGGGAGAGGTAGGCACACATGCTAAACAGCAATAAGGACAGTTGTTACACTTGTAGCAGCTGTTGGAACTGCCATATACAACAGAATAATAAGGAAAGCAATAAATATGCCACCATACTTAAAAAGACCCCCGTACTGTATATACAAGAACACACACATTGTCTCAAATTTCACCAGAAAATGTCTGAAGCATGTGCTGACCTCGTGTGTGTGTGTGTGTGTGTGTGTGTGTGTGTGTGTGTGTGTGCAGGTACCTATCTAAGCGGCAGCACCACTGAGGAGGGACTGCATCATTGACAAAGACTTGAGCTGGATGCCCCTCTCCCATCATCAGTTCTCAAAAACACACATCCACATGCACAGCCTTGACTACACTTCAAACCATACTACAAATCCTATCCTGCAGCTACCAACACAGGAAAGCTCAGGACTGAGATGGGCTTCCCAATTTATATATTTGCATGTTCTCTGATTCTTTTGGATCGTGTTCATTTTTTTCTCAAACATTGTTTACATTCACTCAAGCAACAATGCCAGTTATTGTGTGGTAAAGTATACCCCTGTGGGTTAAAAAAAAACTACTCATAGGTTTGAAACCAAACACTACAAGCTACCGTGATCCACAAACTCTTACTTCAGCCAGGGGTTTAAAAACATCTGGAGATCCACAGGTAAATTTGGGAACTTTTAAACCTGCTGGATATCCCAGATGTGTGTGTTTACAGTGTTTTCACATTACAGCTAGTGTAAAAACACAAGTATACTTTTCTGTTACTTTGGTGTTTTCAGTATTGTCTGCAGGAGTTTGTTATACCAAGCAATTAAAAAAAGAATGCAAATATCATGGTTAAGGTCAGTGAGTGGTGTTCTCTACCCCTGTATGAAGCTGAGATGTTTCCTATTGTATACTGTATGTTAAAGAGGTTGAGTTTCCATTAAAAAGCCAGTATCAAATGTGAAATTCAGCAGAAAGAAATGTGTTATCATTTTCACAGCAATAATTCAGGATAAAGATAAGTGTTAAGTCCTTTGAGGATCAAACTCAGTTTGACATAATATACAATAATGCTCAAAGCACCTGTGAGATTGAAAGCTCTTGAGATCAAAACTGGTTGTAGCTAAAATTTCATTGGCACAGTTGACAACCATATGCATGTTTTTATGAAAAGCATCTGTCGTTTCTTGTTACTTACATGGAGGCATCACTGGACACCCATAAGATGATCAGGTTTCTGTTAGCTGACGGGTGTGTTTTTGTGTTTTTCTGCATGCTGGTTTTGTGCCAGCTCGACTGCATTGATCAGAGACATGAAGTATGAGTTCTTTGTTTTGCCTGTGGGCTTTTAATAAACTGTTTTGTTAAATCTACATATTAATGAACAAAGAGAGTGCAGGATTATGGTGGGAATGCAAAAAAGTGACAGCACAAAATATGCTTTCATGTCTTGTTTGTTTGTAGATTCTGAAATTAATGTATATTGTCAACATATAGTTTAAGTTGGGAATGAAGAAGGGGAAGTGTCTGGGGAAGGAAAGGGTGTTCCCCCACCTTATGAAGAAGTGGCACCTGAAGCTCTTGAAAACATTTTTTTTAGATTTTGTTTGGTTCAGTTCTCATGGACATTCAACCCCTTTTCATTTCTTGAGATCTGACTGACTGTGTTTTCCTCATTGCAACTCTGATATCATGCCTGTAAATATCACAGTAAACCTTTTTTGCACTTAAATTGCCTTAAATCTTCATTGCTGTGTCAGTCATTTAAAATGAGTAGTCAGATTATTGGTACATTTTGCAATAGTGAAACATTTTATTACAAGTGCAGTAAATTAATCATCAGTATTGTTTTTACAAAACTAAAAACATTTTAGAAACAATTCTGAATGGATACTGTTATACTGTACTGTAAATAAGAGTGACAAAGGACATACAAGAATCATGTTACAATATACCGCAGTTCCATAGAGACACCTAGAGTCAATAAATACTGTACAGGTATACATTCACTCCAACACTTCTTGTGTTTCTCTTCTGATTTGTTAAAAAAAATGTGAAAACTAAAAAAAAAAGTTTCCTTCAATCCTTATTTTCTTCCTTCTTGTATGGCTGCAGTCCAGGGACAAGGCTAGCAGTCCACTTGTTCTTTGTTGACTCTGGAGACAGGACAGATTAGAATGCAACGATGAAGATCAGATCAAATGTTGGTGGTGTGATTTGGTATTATTTGGATAAATCCTAAATTCTCACACAAATTACATCTTTGATTAGAAACTAAGTGAAAACATTTTTTTGTCCAAGGAATATACTTACGTGCAGTGACTCCAGTGGCTCCACGGCCCACTGGTGAATTTGTCCTGAGCTCGCACACAGAAAACATACTTCTTGGTTTTAACATTGACCTCATACTTAGTTTCCTCAGTGATGTTATGCTGCAAAGGACAAAAGGCGACATATTGAATAGAGAGAAAAGTTCTTAAATCAGGAATTCTGCAAATGCATTTTTACAGTACAACCAAAAAAAGATTTTGTATTTCCATAAGTGGGGTAAAACTATGGAATAATTTAAGTGTGGACATAAAAAATAGTAATAGAATTGACGAGTTTAAACATAAATATAAAGGTATGTGTCAATCAAGATATATGCAAGAACAGGCTTAATGATAAATTAGATGGAACATTGTGGGTGTGGTGTATGAATGTTAACACTTTGTAATAATTCTTTAGTATATTACTTGTGTGGTGTAGAAGATAATTATTTAAGAATGTAATTATGTAAGAATGTTAACACTCTGTTAAAATTTTTTTGTATATTACTTGTGTGGTGTAGAAGAGAATTATCTATGTAGAGATACTGCTTGCAAACCAATGATGGTAAGATGATGTCATGGGGTAGGACTAGATAAGTCTGACTTCTTCCTACTCCATTCAAGCATGTACTAGGTATAAGCAAATTGATATTGGATTAGCATTTGTTGGATATGTGTAAAATTATGTGTGTTGACATATCAACTGTCTTTACATGTTTGAAAGAATAAATCAAATCAAACAGTAGCTAACAGTACAGTACAGTAACCGGAATCAGATCTACATCACGTATGTATTGATTACCTCTATATGTTCTTCACTGTTACAGACATGTCCGCTGTGGACCACCTTGACCTGGAAATGCAGGGCAAAGAAGGTCTCCGGCTTCTCCCAGGAGTCAGGGAAGGTCCAGCTGAATACCTTTCCATCACTGATGCGCAGGCTGGGTAATTTTGCTGGCCTCACTAATTAGGGTGAGGAGGGAGAGGAATGAGGTGGAAAGGGGTGAATGGAGGGCAACAGGTAAGAGAAGACAAAAGGGAATGAGAGTGGATGGGTGAACCTATTGACACATAATGCTAAGTATTCATAGGCGTTTGTCTAGGTCAAAAATAGTTGCACAATATTTCAGAAGAGCAGTTCTGTAAACCCTTAAAAGAAACTAAAACATTTTGTAGATTTGTAGACACTTGTTTTATTTAACTGAGTACTCACAAACAAACCACAACACATACTGCCTCCTTTTTCACACAGACATCAATGCACTGCACAATGGCTTACCAATCTCTCTCAGGTAGAAAGCCTTTGTGTAGACCTCCAGGCGAGAGTAGCTGCTTATGTAAATAGTAAGGGTGATGCGGTGTTTCTCCTCCTTATACGGGCAGCTGACATCCTGACAGTGAACCCCTGATCCATCAGCATCCAGCTCACATGGTATTTTTTCTAAATAACTGGATAAAAAAGTAACCGGTTGGTACAATTCTACTTAGAATATGATACAGTAAAATCTGTCACCTTATGATCAAATGCCATAAAATGTTTTCAGCATGGGGGCTCCATGGGGGATTATACCACATACTGTATCCTGGCAGGTTTTAGAAGTTGCTGATCTACACCTGAATAAAGCACAGAGGGTGAATATGGGAAATAGTTTTTTGGTCTCACCGTTCTGCCTTTACCAGGAGCACAACAGCATTGGATCGGAGCCGTGCTCTTGTCCAGGTGCAGTGGAAGGAGCCTTTATAGTTGGATGCTGAACAGTGGATGTGACCTGGAGGAACAGAAATGCTGTTAGCACTCCAAGTCTCCCCTTCTCCTTGGGTTCAGTATTCTTGTGAACAATTTATCTCTCTCTGTTGTGTGTCATGGTTTCTTACTTTCTTTGTTCTCTCTCCTTTTATAATGATCAGTGTTTCCTCCCCCTTAGTATGTTTCTTTCAAACATGGTGTCTCCTTTTTTTCCTCTATTTAATTCTCTTCCTACCATCATTCTGCCTGTGGTCCTCCTTTTATCCTTTGTCCCACTGTTCATCATATCATGCAAGTGATGTCTGTTTTTGGACCACAGCCCTCTACCTCTATCTATTTTCCCATCTGATCTCCTTCTCCCACCATCTTTCTTACCTCATGCATCTAGGTCCCATTTGACGTCCAGTAACAAAACAAATCTCTTCTCTTTTCATTCAATATGTACCTTCCATGTAATTTCCTTTCTGCCTCACTTTGTCTGTCTTATCTCACCTTCTTCAGGGGATTTTTCTTCCAGTATGACAGTCCTGTTGTCTGGGTCTAGTTGGACCAGGATCACAGTGTGGTTGAGGTTTTCTCCATTTGGACCAAGGTGACAAGTGTAGTTTCCTCCATCCATCTCTTCCACCAGAACCCTGATCTGGTTCCCCTGCAGAGCTGGATTAAGCTCCATGCCTGAGACAAGGGCATTGGTCAAAGGTGCAATGATGTTAAAAAACAAAATTGATATTTAACTGAAGAAAAGTTTAGTATGATAATCACTGTACTTTGCATATTGGCACAGTTCCTATTGGAAGTGCTAGTAGAGGTAGTATCTGTAATAGAAAAAACTGTTGTATTACCATTTTTCTTCCAAAACACAGGCTGGTTTTGATAGGCTTCTCCACAGGTCAGAGGGACATACACTTTGCTGTTCACACCATAAGGCACCCTCAGGACCAGAACTATTAAATCATCAAAAAGAAACACACATTTACAAACACACTGGCTTGAATCAAAATGTGTGGTGAGAGAGAAAAATGAAAAAGGAAGCAGTAGAGACAGGTGGAATTACCAACCATTATCCATTAGAGTTTCTATGTTTTCTTGGTGGCTGCCAGAGCTGGCACAGCACAGTGCAGCATACAGGACCATGAAGAGCAACACACACATCTGGAGAAGAGGACAACAGGTAAGTTTACATTCTAAATATCTCACTGAAATGTAGTAACGTAAGTATAAAGTCTCTCAAAAACTGAAATACTCAAGTAAAGCAATGATTCTTAATGTTTTTGGCTTGTGACCCCTTGGATAATGTCTTCTGGACCCCTGTTCTGCTCTGTATATGTCAACAAATTGTAACAATTTCACCCAGATATTTTTTCCTTTTTAAAAATTTTAACAATTCTCTAGAACACTGAAGTAACATTAGCCCCAAATTTACCTCAAGTCCACAAAACACCTTTTGCAACTGTCCAAAACCCCAGACTGAGGTAAAGTATACCAGTACTTCTTAAGTGTATTTAAGTAATTTCTTGAGTAAAAGTAGTTTTGATGAGTTTTACTCAAAGGAAATGTGTTCATATTGAATTTAAGAAATGCTACTTATACATATCACCTGAACTACTGATCATGTTTTTATACCAACAGTTTATTTCAACTTCAATCAACTGACAGAAAGTTTTCTAACTTAAACATGTGTTCAAATCAATATTTTAGAATTATACATACACCAAATAAAATGGGGAAAAACAAACAGGAGAGAAAATTAGTGTGAGCATTGTAGATGTTACCTTGACAATTGGACTTGATTCAAAATTCTCACAGTTGATGGAAGCTGACCCAGTGCGTACCTTACAGAGGTGAGAGGGCTGTGCTGATGCTCGTGTTGTCTGCTGGCTCTCAGCATGCTGTGGCTGTATTTATCTATAGCAGAAGCAGAAGGTTGAAAAACCCCAACACAAAGAGGAAATGCCTCATGCTTGTGTGAGAATTAAGAAGTTGCTATGCATGTGAGAGTACATACCTGAGAGTACAAGAGAAGGTGACATACAGTAAGATCATGATCTGGTTCATCAAATGGAAACGCCAAAGGACTGTTTGGATGAATTATAAAGCCAAGGCACAAACCAACTTTAGCTTCATCAATATTTTTTTTCCCATCTGACTCAATCAATATTGCATATTGTGATGTGATTGTGATTAGTTCAGTCACACTTGTGATTGTGCAATGGGGGAAGTGAGGACAGCAAAAGAGACAGAAACCTCTGGGGAAGGGAACTTGTTATGTGTTTATACTTGACTGATTGTGATGATGTGATCACTGAAAACACAAAAGGTACCCTGGAAATAGTCATAGGAGTTCTCAGGAACAAGAAAGCAAAAGTGTTAATGATGGCAGAAGTGGAAAAGAGATTAGAGTCACTGGGATAAAACAGAAAACAAAATCAACCGGGGGGCTGCTTGAGTTAGCAAAAAAAATATAAATGACACATATATGCAGAGTATTACACTTTATGGAAGTCTCCATGGTTTATTATGCTCTCATGTAACCATTAACTAGTGTGTGTCTATGTGTAATATAGTTATCCATTTCCTATAAGTGCATCTCTAGTTTAATTATTCTTATATGGATCTGGTTTTGATTCAACAGTGCTGTGTGCTTTGAAAAAAGGCAATAGATGACTATTACTCAAGACTGGTTTGCTTTGTGGTTTCAAACATACCTTTGTATAGTATCATATTTGCAGTATTGCTCAGAATGGAAGTGCCATTTCATTGCTTCTTTCCAACCATACACTTGTCCCAAACAAGAAAGATAACCAAAAAAGAAAAACCCTTCAGCGCTCCTCCCCTAACATTTATATGATGCTATCACATACATTCTCTTTTCGGGGATGGAGTGCATATCACAAAACAAGGCAAATTAAATTTTGAGATGGCAGCCCTGAGCAGGTGACCTGTTCATAGGTATTTCCCACGAAACAAAAGAAAAGCTAAATCACAGGGGACTTATGACGATTAATGCTATTCTGACCTTAAACCACTTCCACTTCCCCTCTGTCTGTCACTCCCATACACTGTGGCTTTTCACGTGCAACAGCATCCAAGTAGGTCATTTACTCATCTTCTTCCTCTATATTAATACTGAACAGCTTACTTGATACAAATATAAATGCGTGATAGATTTCTTATTAGCAGGCACACAGGTTCCTTCCTCATTCCACCGCTGGCTGAATGCTGTTTGTGTATTTGTTCTCATTCTGGGAATACCATTTTGCAGCACTTCTTTCAAACACAATGGGTCTAAAAGGCCTCATGGCATCATTGTGTTTTTCTGGGAATTTTCCATGTTTTGTCTATCTGGACTGAGTAGATCTCAAAGAATGGTGCTGAAATAAGAAAAGGAGGAAATCAAAAGGGGAATGAGAATCACTAACCATAACCTGGGAGTGAACACCTCTATTTCAAAATGAAAATATTCAAAGCAAACAAGCAGAGATCAAGGAATAGAAACAATGATCAGTTTTAATTAAAAACATTCTATTTTTAATCAAAATATGCAGCTGCGTTTCTGATCCGTCCGGTCCATTCTTCTGCCACATGAATAAGTGTGGTTGTTTCTTGATCATACTGTATATGAACATTCACCCACTCACACACATACGCTGACTACTTAATGTTTACTATTTGATTACTCTCATTGTTCTGTAGAGCAGAGTAAAATAAAGTATCTAATCCAGCAGCAGCTTGGTAAAACATCCAGCTGTGCCCCCTGACTGAAACGTCCCATCAAGAAGGTGGACACATCTGTTTGCTAACTAGAACTACCATGAGAATACAGTTCTTTATAGCTGTTAGCATACAGACTTAATCCCCAGCTGATGTCCTTGGTGTGAGGGATGCATGATTAAGAGAAGTTGCCTGAATAACTGTCATGAGTGTTAAACTATCTACTGAACTGTAATGAAAATGTATAACCCTGTAGTCTCATAAACAGAACTCTGCTGGCCCAGCTTTGCCAGAGAGCAGAACTTAAATGGAAAATGAAGCACAAAAACAACTGAACCTTTAAACCATCTGACAAAGTTCTCTTCTTGTTGTTCGGTTTCCATAGGAACAGATAAAAAAAGACTTCAAAAAAGGTCCAAATTTCAATGTGTAAAACCAAAGAGTCTTTTCTCACTTCAAGAGTTCTTTTGCTCCAGCAGACAACTAACGTCTGCCCAAACAAAGCCCTTCTCAGCAAAAGCAAGGGAAGAGAAGAGAAGAGTCGAGAAGAGAAGAGAAGAGTTGAGTTGAGTTTCTCCCTTGTTATCCTCCTCCTTTTATACTGCCAGTCCACTCCAGGCTGCCAGGCTGGGGAGAGTTAATTCTCCGCCGGCGTGGGTTCTTGTGGCAGTGCAGCCACTGCTTCCTCTGGCCCAGAGGCCTCTGCTGTATGTCCTGCTGTTACTGGCTCTGGTGGTGGTGGCTGACTGAGGATGACCTGCACTACATAGTCCCTGGAGATGTTGAGTTGGTCCAAGTGGAGTCTGTCTGTCAGTGGCCGACCTGAGAAAAACCAGCGCTGGGTCGCAGCAGGCACCCCCTCCTGATTTTGTAGACGACGCTTCATCATGCCCACTGTGTCCATGGAGCGGACTGCCAGCTGGAGGTCGCGACCTGTGGAGAGTCTCAGCCGAAGTTGGCACTCCCCTCCTGAGCTGGGGTCACTGCCGCTGCCTGAGGATGGGTCTGCGGCAGCGGAGTCTGGGTCTGAAGCGTCAGGCTCATCAGAGTGCTTGACGGGAGGAGGGAGGCATTAGACTGGCAGCTGGTATCGATTCCCCAGTTCATCGTAACATTCAGTCAGAGCTCCTGGAAGAATGGGTAAAAAAAAACGTGAATGTTTTAAATGCTTTTTATCCCAGGACGTAAAAGTTTGTTTTCACAGTTTTGCCCATCATGGTAACATTAGAAGCTTCACTGAGAGTCTAGAAGGCCTTAGAACATTAACCTCAGAGACAGAATATATTTAACCCAGTTATCTACATGACGTATTTCATTCCAAAGTCTAAGGATTCAACTTGCTGTAATGACCGATTGTACTTTACATAACTACACAGCATGAACACACTTTTTCCATCGTATGTGGCATTATGGGACTCGTGTACACGGTACATCCTGGAAGCTATTAAACATCACCTGCAGCATGTTACAGCTTACTTTAACCCCCAAATGGGTAAAAACAAAACCACAGAGTTATGTTGTATGTATATACTAGGTAAATGCTTAAATGAAAGTTCCAAAACAAAGCATTTAACACTTGAAATGATCATTTTGGGAAATCCATCAACCTTTCCATTAATTTTTGTGTAAAAAAAAAGCTGAAACCTTTTTAGCACATTTATGTTTTTTAAACAGACATTTAAATCAATGTGTTATTTTGTATCTTTTCAATATTTCATTCATAAAATGAAAGTCAAATGCTCACATCATTTTTCCATCTAACAAAGCCAACATCACATTTTGCTACAGTGAGATGAAATGGACAAATAAGAGTCAGGCTCAATAGGGAACAAAGACTATGGGGAATGATCAAAGAGTCAAAGCAGGAGAGAAGAGAATGCCATATCTGTCAGAGGACTACGAAAAAAAAAAAAAAACGATGGGTCACTGCTGACCAACTGCTATTTAGACACACACAGTAAAGAGCTCAGGGGGAAATGAGCTCTAGTGAAGAGGTCATATTATGCCGCCAACAAAAACTTAATGCAGTGGTTATTGAAGGGGGGGGGCCCAGGTGTTCTCAAGGGGATTTCAAATAGGTTTCCCTGCACAATAGTTTGATTGCTTTTCATACCTACAGTTACAGGCTGTGTACCCACATTTTACTCACTGATAGACTGTCTATTTCTGTAGAATTACTGTCTCTGAGCCGTGTTGATGAGGGTCTTTTGACTGAAATGTTCACATTTTTACTCACATCTTTTCACTTTACCACTTGCGCTCATATAATAAATCTACTTTTTTGGCATCTTGAGAGCTGTTTGTTGTTTTTTTCCGTGCATGGCCATTTTTTCATACATGGGATATAATGATTTTAGCCATACACACCTGACAAACCTCTTGGAAGCAGCGTGAACCCTGCAACAATTTTGATCCAACTTTTCATACCTATAAACACCGAGTAATTGTACTGTGGTAATGGATGTTTTGATTACAGGGATCGCCTGCTTTGTTTTTTAGCATTTGGAGTAATATGCTGTACCATCCAAAAAAAAAAACAGCCTGTTTACACTCAGTGTTTTATGTTTGTAATACCTTTGAGAAGATGCTAATGATGTTGCCCTTCAGACATTCTTAAAATGAGAACTAAACCATTTAAGACCACCATGACAAATTCCTTCTCTCTGTGGACTTTTTTCGTAAACACTGCTTAAAAGGTCACTGCACCGCTCATTTTGTTTTATGACCTAAACTGAGGCACGAGCCACTTAAGAGTAAGCGAGACTGAGATGAGTCAGCAGCTCTTGATGCTGCTGTGGTCAAGGTGAAAACACTAAGGCCACACTATGTCTACCAGAGTGAATGTGAGAGCGAGCGAGTGAGAGGGGGGACAAAGCGAGCTTGACGTAATACCATGTGCCTGTATATAGTAATGTGGATAACAAGTGTTCAGCACCTTATAACAACAGCACTTAACAAAATCAACGTGGTGTGAAAAGAAATACTTTAATAATTTCAACCCTATAATAAACAAACATCATTCCAAAAATGCTCTAGACAACACGACTCTTTCAGCTTACGTAACCAAATAATATGATGGCATACCAACACAGTGGCATAATTAGTATACATGTTTTAAGGTACTGAAGCTATTTGTCTTTATCAAAACTGAAATATCTACATCTTCAAGTAAGGAGGTTTCAGGACCCTGATACCACTGGCCCTTCAGCACAATCAAGGGTGTAAATGTGCCTTATGTCCAGTTTAATTACAAATATATTCAATTACTTTCATGTAAAACAAGCAGAAGCAGTTTAATATGGGGAAGCTATCATAACCAGTGTCACAATAAGCTACTATAAATACAAAACAAATGTACATTCCGGATACAACTCTCTACGCCTGTATATCTCACTCGGTTTTTTCTTATCCATTTGGCTCCACCTCAGTGTTTACGCTAGAGCTGTAGAACGCTAATAGATTCCAGGTGGTGTTAATGCCTTTAGTTGTTGCTGTTTAAAAAACAAAGTCCATCCATCCCTTATCTATATGGCTTATCCTAACATGGGTCAATCCCAGCTGACATTGGGCGAGAGGTGGGGTACACCCTGGACAGGTCGCCAGTCTATTGCAGGGCTGACACTTAGAGACAGACAACCACACACACCCAGATTCAGATTTGTGGTTTTGAGTGAAATGTTAGAATTACTGGGTAGAGGCCATGAAATTTGGAAATGTCGCATATTCATGTCTTCCTCAGGATGAACTATAACCCCTTAATTTTAGCATTACCATCAGGTCAAAATTACTCTATGATTTGTTTTAGTGTGTACCTTAACCGTGGTCTTAAATGCAAGAAGGGCAAGGCAAAATTGTGAGCGGTAAAAATATTACAATGATCTGGCTGCACTTTGTACTGAAGTGCCGGATGGTGATGTCAGGTCTGGGGAATCTACAGCTGCAGCCCAACGGGATCTGATCTGACCTGACCACCCTACTGAGAGGAATGGCGCAGGACAAGACACCAACTACATTTACATGACCAAAAAACATATCTGTTGCTAACAGCTACTCCCAAATATAAATTCAGTGAAGCAGTTTAGCATCTTTGAGACATTCACATTTAGTGTCTGCCCACTAAAGAATTAATTCAATCCAGCCCTGGTTTCCTGCATAGGAAAGAGTTCACCTACTGTACCAAAACTGTGCAGGCTACCATCAGCCTCAGAAATAAAGTGCCTCTGAAAAACAAGAAATAGTTTACAGTCCCAACAAAGGTACTGCTTACCACTGTCATTTATTCACTTCAAAGACATAGCACCCATGATGCTGTGCCAGTGTGGTATGAGATAACAGGTATAGTGTGGACATCAGTATGTTAAATTTCTTTAAAAATCAGAGCAAGACAGTTATTTCAGCCTGTTTTTACGTAATGGGAATTAGCATTCAGTCAGATCATGACATTTACTTTCAGAAATGCATTAAGAACACACTTCTGCACTTTTATATGCAAGTCTGGTGAGACACGGGAAAGCAAGAATGCCACCATCTGGACAAAATGCAACACAATCCAAGACCATAAAGTCAACATTTTAACAAGAAACAGAAAACTATTTCCTTGCCTGAGGTGATATGACTCTGAAGGTGAATTAGAGAATGATACACATCCACCAATAAAGAGCCTGATCAGGCAGCTGATAATAACTGTGTGGAGCTGCTGAGCTTCCCGAATATGAGCATGTCAATTTTATTGATCTGCTCTGTATGAATGCTCTCTCAAGTGTGTTTCTGAAGATGCACTAACCTTAGTGTACTTATGAGTGAGTACAGAGGCCACGGTTTGATTTATTATTTATTGATTCTCCAGTGTATAACTCCCTAGAATATGGTCACTGAGATACACTTAGAAGTTCTTTAACTCCTTTTAACTACAGCCTGAAAATTGTATGTGCTTATACTGTAATTAGTTCCATATACACTAATACATCAAATACTGTGTAAGACAGCAATAAAGACAGTACAGAAGCCACTCGATGAACAGAAAAGTGTGGCCAAGTTTGCTTCCTGTTTATGATACTCCAACCATGACACTTGAAACTACAGAGGATGTATGAGACACTTCCTGGGGAAGCGTTCACCCTTGGTCTTCTCAGCTCTAACTCCTTCAGTGCAAATGACTAAAACGACACAGCTGCTACCCCGAGAGGTAAGCACTGCTAGCTGATGCTGGGAATGCATATCATGACCTGGAAAAGCCATTTTCTAACTGTGGTCTTGTAGGGTCATAGATGTTTTAGCTTGAGACAGTTGCTTGTTCAAGAGGTCTGCAATAGGTGTAATAGGTGACTGACAGCTTCCTCCTTCACCCAGAAAGCAGTGTGAATCTTTCCTACACCTGCCTGAGCTTGCTGCTTTATCATGGGGTTTGGTTCCACTTTTGAAGCTATAGAAACATGAAGGCTGCTCTGAATCTATCCACCAAAATCAGCCTCTGAATAAATTTGAGGTGATAATTAGGCCATGCTGAGGCAAGAAATTGTTTGTGCAGTTGTTGCAGCCTCATTCTCTATCTCGAGTGATTAGTTGTGAATGATGTATGGCAGGTGGAGAGGCTGGATGTCACTCTTGGTGTGTCCCAGTTCCACACTACATACTAACAGTAAACAGTATATCTTGCAATACAGTATATCAAGAAATCTTTTCCAAAAATTTCATTGCCATTTCTTTTGCTTTCTGACTTGATCCTGAAGCAGTTTTACTACCATCCACAACTTGTTTTATTTTTATGTTTTCCAGCAGTGAGCAGTCATTTTATTTCCTTGTGCAATGCATTTTGGGACGATTGTACAAAAGCACACTGAAAAATTAAGAGATTTTTTTTCTAGTGTGCATGAGTTTTTCATCAGATCACACACTGGTTTTTACTGTGTTAGCAAACTACAAAACTCAGACCTGCTTAAAAATCCTTTTGATTGTCTAAAGGTTCAGCCCTTTGCTTATGTCTCATAAATCCTATTACTGTCCCTTGCGCTATTTTGTACAATAAGAGACTATTCTAAGAATTAAAAAAGAATAATAAAAGTTAATTCATATGAAAATTGTCAACAAGATCTGCAGTCTTTAGTAGAGCCTATAAAGTGCAAAGAAATTGTCTGCAGCTGAGCTCCTGAGTTTAGTTTCTCTAGAGAAATCAGGAACAGGGAGTTATATTCTTGAGTTTGGATCATCGACTACTATGTTCTACGTAAAGTCCACACTGGTGTCATTTTATGGAGAGGAAGCAAACATTATGAGGTATCTGCTGCATCTAACACTGTGAAAATGTGTGTTACCATGCGGAAGTGTGATGCTGGCTCCGTCAAGGATAGCTTGAGCCAGAAGGTGGTCATTGCTCTCAAAGGCACTGGCCGCAGCCCGCAGAGCATCCCAGATTTCTTTCCGTCCCTCGAATGCTGGCGCCGTATCCCAGAACTCATCTCTCTTGCTGCGCAGCTGGCCTTCAGTCATCGGGTAGTCACTTTTCCATTTAGGCCGCTCTCTCTTCAGGGGCTGGTTACGCCCTAAAGCCACTGGGACGGAGTACAAGACAGAGGAAAGAAGAAATGGAGAGAAAAGAAGACAGGAGGGTGAGAGGGTAGACAGAAGTGAAAGCAGAAGGGAAACAGAAAAACAGAATGTGAGTGGGGGTGGGGTAAATGTAAGGAGGTTAGGAAAGAAAGACAAAAAAGAAAAGAGAGGAGGCAACAGAAAAGGTGATGAGCAGCAGAATAAGAAGAAAGAGAGATAACCAAGATAAGGAAATAACAAAACAAAACAAACAGGGATGTAGGGAAGAGAAAGTTGACACATGTAGAGCAAAAGACGACAGAGAGAGAGAGAGGTACAGGGATAGACAGGATAAAATGGAGGAGGATATACAAGTTAGGATTGATCTGAAACAAAGCATCAGTCTTTTCTGATTGCTCATTCACACAGCTAAGCTTCTATGATAAACATAAGCTTGGACCATCATGTGACATCCACATGGAACATACATACAAAGCAAAACTGAACCCAGAAGTGTTATATTCCCAGCCCCAGTTAAAAGGTTAGGGTTATAGCATCTAACAGTGCTCCATCTGCAGCAGAATAGCTGATGAACAACACCATCTGGATCACCACCTTAGGGGAGGACAGGTACAGGACACTGTGTGCTTATGTTGTGTGTGTGTGTGTGTGTGTGTGTGTGTATGTGTGTGTGTGTGTGTGTGTGTAACGAAGAGATGGCGGAGTGGAGGATTACCGATCAAGGTATTGAGTTACACCTGCTGCTGTTGGAACACATGTACTCTGATGATCACATAGCACAGTCTGACAACACCAACCTTCAACTGACTGGCTGTAGTAAATGAGACCTCTAACTGACTAACTCTTTACACTCACTTCAACTTTTTCTCTATTTGGTTGTGTATTACACCTTCACCCTGTATAGGACAGTTATATACTGTTTAAAAGAGTTTATCCTCCTGTATTAGCTTACTTTCCAGCTCATGTGTCTTACTTTGACTATCATTAACTTCCCTAATGTGGGCCGTTAGGCTATGTGTTAACAATTTTATACAAAAATAATATTATGCTTGAACAAGAAAAGCCTGGCTATGACACCTGCTCTGGTGAAAACAGATGCATAATGTGTGTTCAGGTCTAACTGATCTGTCTGTGTCATCATCAAGCAAGGTGTCATGTACTGTACAAGCTGCTTGGTTGCATCAGTTTTACACTACAAGGCCTCTGGTTGCTACACACTTCAGAGATATACAGATCTGTGAGACCTGTGTATTTAGGCAGGTAGGAAGTCTGGGAGACAAAAAGGAAGACATTAAGGAAATAAGACTACATCTCAGCCTCTATAGTCTGGTGAGTCCCCAGACCCCAGTGTGGGACTGATATAACTCTGGCCAGTAGCAAAATCCCTTCTCAGATGAGACAAACCAGGAAACTACACAGCCATCAACACCTCAACTTGAAGAAAATCTCTATAAAATTGGGGGTTTTGGTTAGGTTGCACTATTTAATGCAACATCACTAGCTCAGTTCTATCTGGGGACCTTTATACATATCACTGCTATCTCTCTTTCCATTGTGTACCTGTAAAATACCTATTGAAAACAATGTACCAGCCTTCACCCACCAGATTTAATGCACTGCTTCCAGGTTGTATTAAGCAGCTGCCAAGTTAAAAGTATCGCCACAAAAGATTTAACCCTAAAATCCACTGCTTGAGTTATTATGCCCCATAGCATGCAGCATTCTGTTTATTACTTATTAACTACTGAAAACCTGCTGTGTTTCTAACCCGTTGTTGGGGGACAGCACTTACTGCTCTCAGGCCTTGTTTGCAAAACATAACCAGTCTAGGTTACCGTGTTAAAACAGACTTCTTTTACCATAAAGCAGCAGCCCTGTGAGTGCTGACACTTCCTCCTCTCTCCTTTACACTTTCAAGCAATATGCTCCCACGTCTCGCTTATACGAAACAGTCAATAAACGCAAAAGCCTGACACTAGTCACAAGTGCGGCTTGTGTTAAGTTAGCGGTAAGTTGGAAAGCGTCTTGGAGCCAGGACTAATTGAAAACAGACCGTCTCTCTCCTCTGCGTTGCCTCGCATGCCATTGCCGTCTGTGACCCATATTTTTAATGCAGAAGAGCTAGCAAGCTAACAAGGCTACGTTTTAGCCGGCTAGCTCAGTTAACAGCAAAGAACAAAGAGAGGCAGTGTCGCACAGTAAATGTTTCCCAGTCTGTAAAGTAGCGAGCAGACAAGCGTCTTTTATGGCTTTAAGGCACGCCGTGTGGAGGGAGATAGCCTGGAGGGCAGCCGTGTCTGTCTCCGGCTCTGTCTGGCTCGGGTATGAGGGGAGGGAAGAGGTCCTACGGCCAGGACAGCATGCAGAAAGCCCCCTAAAAAAGCAAAGCTTGCAAGCATTGGAAGACGATGATAAGCCCTGTAAGTTACCTCCAGTGCCGTCTGAGTTCTCGTTTAAGCTGCCCGAAGAGTCGTGGTGGCTCCCCACACAGCCACCCATGGATGTTTCGGCAGAGCAGCCCGGGCTAGGTAGCTCACCCCCGGCCCACAGCTAGAGCTACATCCACCAGCCCCCCTCTCTCGTTTTTCTCTCTTCCCCCTTCCCCTTCCCTCCCCTCATTTCCTTCCTTCCCTCCCTTCCTCCCTCCCCTCCTTCCTTTCTCATCGTTTCCTCTCGTCCTCCTTGTCCTCTTTCCTTCCTCCCTCCTTTCTTCCTCAGCATTTGCGGGGCGCAGCAGGCATCATCTTCATCTGTGGAGAAGGCGGAGAAAGAAAGACAGAGGCAAGGTGACCGAAAGGAAAGAAGGAGAGAGGAAGGAGAGAGAACAAAGGAGAAGTGCACTGTTTCTTTGGTGCAGGAATTGTTGTTTTAGAGTTTAGTCTCTGCTGATGATTATCTGTTTTGCCACAAGTCATGTGCTGTCATGTTTTGTGTTCACAGAAGCTGTTTGTTGTCCTGAAAAAACATATACTTGATTCCTTGAATGTCATGAAAGCCCTCCTGGCCTTATGTGGCCTCCTTGATTGAATTACATTCAGTATAAACCAGTGAGCAGACTTATCTATTCTATTCAGTTTTATTATCTTGTGCACAATAGGGATTTCTGTCTATAGGCTAAACTGTCTAAAAAACTATAGGTTTTAACACCCACACTTTAAAGCTGAAATATGATTTTAGGCACTGATAAATCAAGTGAAAATGGAACAGAACGCGGTGTCTCTCCAGCCTACCCCCACCCATAACACTGCCTCCAGCAGCCCTTTTGTTGTTATTCCAGCTTCTCTGCCCTGTGCTGTCAAAGTACGGATAGTATGTTAGCCCTGCCTTCCATCTAGTAGTCATTTCAAAGAGTCAGCCATGAAGGAGCTCTTGGCAAAACAGCTTCCAGACCGAAGAGGCCACGTTCTTTTGCACAGAGAGAGTGGGATAAAGCAAGAAGTTTACGTTGTTGGCTAGGAAATAGGACATGATGAGAGGGACAAAGAGCAGGTTATGGTGGCGGTTTGTTTTGAGTCTCACTAGACGCCCTAGGCTGGCAAGAGATTAGGTAGAGTAGGTGTAAAGATTGTTGATCAGTGAAATGTAGTTATTGTTCAGCAGTTCCATTCTGTGCTATTCTGTTCTATAGTGAGCTTTCCATTTTTCTGTGGTTAGACTCTAGCTCCTTGGTTCCAGCAGGCATACATTAGTGCTGTCTATTCTGTTCTCATCTACTCTGTTCTGTGTTACTTTATTCTCCTCTCTCTTTCCAAGTAGAGTTTTAGGTTTTAACACACACTTTTGTTGCATCTGTGTTGATTTATCAAAATTTACAACAATATTGTTTTGTTCCAAAATTCTGCATACTATAATTTTCTCTTCCTGTCGTAGAAGTTCTAATCACTTTAGTTCTGCATCTGTATGCCACAGTGCTACACCAGATGACCACGCTCATGCCTGCTCACTATCTTTAGGACTGTCCTAAAGAGACTTCAGTGTAATTTGACACACTGACACACAAGCATAGACATACATTCACTCACATGGTCACGTGCACACATGATAGCAACCAGATAGCAAGGATAACTTTACAACAAAGCTGTCTGGAATTACAGATATTTCCCATTGCTAGGTACTGAAAGAAGACGTGTTTATGCCGGAGAGAGAGATTTCCTGTAAATCCTTTTGTGATTGTCTGCATGATGTAGTATGATGTAACAAGTTACTAAGAATACACCTGACATGTTGCTGAATACTTTGAGATCAAGGTCATGGCAGACTCTTTTGTACTGACCACATGTTGATTCCTATTCATGACGCCAATGGTTGAACATCGCCTTTCATATCAGGATGATGTTACTGTGTGTCACCTGAGGAAAGTGATTTTAAGTGGCAATGTAGCTCGTGTTTGTGGAGATTACTGAGCCTTTTAAACTGTCTCAAACCTACACTGTTATGGACATGTCCTAAAAAGGTTTCAGCAAATTTTAAACATGTAAAAATCGAAAATTACAATTCAAATCCCAGTCTTTGCGCTGTTTGTTCACAGTATTAAAAGCCACAAAACATTGGCAAGAACGACTAAACAAGTGTGACAATTAGTGGCTTTGTTTGATTAGGAGAATACGTTGCATATAGTTCTAATGATACGTATGATTGATTGCCTAATGTCCATTTTTTTTATCAGAGACTGATAAAGTTTGATGGCAGCTAAATGGCACCTCTGAATGAAACCAGTATAGAAGACATGTTATGATCAGACAACACACTGATTGTCTGCATGATGTAATATGAGGTTACAAGTTACTAAGAATACACCGGACATGTAGATGCATACTTTCAGATCAAGGTCACAGTAGTCACAGTCTGTAGTTGTATTACTTTTACAGTTTTGAAATGTTTGTGACTGAAATGTTATGTTGCTTCAGTTGGACATACAGACTAGTTGAAAATGCCAAATTCTTCCATATGTGTGGATGCAACATGCCACAGTAAATCCTGTCTAATTAAGCAGAAGTAAAACATTTGCACTTTGAGATTGTATGGATACTTTGTTCATCTCAGGTTGTTCAGAAACTGTAGTATTTATTCCAGTGCTTTTTGTTATATGTAAAACTTTATTTGTGTGATACTAATTGCACCTCTTGAAGCATGATCAGTCAGCAATTGGCTGACTGATATTTGCAGTAATAATAAAGAATAAATGTACAGTCTTCTGCTTGTACATAGCTCAGTCAGTAGATGGTGCTGGAGAGTTTGCCTTCTGATTAAAAACACCATGTGTGTGAGAGAGAGAGGGAAATGACAGACAGACACTGGCATGGCTTTTATTTTAGTGGGTGATGGAGGCTAAATGTCAAGAGTGTTCTAAAGACTTTATTAATTAAATATGCTTATCCTACAGTTTTTCACTTGACATATTCCAAACATATTACACCTGTTAGGGTGCTATAGTGTAAGTGTATTACTGTAAGGCCTATGTCAGTATCAGCACTTACTGTCCTGTTACATTTTGGCTGATATATTTGGTACCACTCACATCCACTTCATCACAACAAAAACAAAAACATGGCATATCTGAAAACATGAAAGCAGAAATTTGTACATAGCCACACTTGTTCTCTCTAGTCACTCAGGCAGTCATTTCTCAGCTGTTTGTCTCCTCTGCAGGCAAACAGCCATACAAGACGTCATTTTGCAGGTTTGACAAAAGACAAAATGTACAAAGAGCCCTTTTCAGACATTGACCAGAAGTTTTTTTCTTTTGACAGTCTTTTGAAGTTGAGTTTTCTTTATCTGGGCATTTCTCTCCAATCTCTATCTTTGTTGTTTTTTTCACTATCTACATTCTTTCTTCTCCTACTCATCTTCCTTCTTCGCAGCATCTTGTCCTTTCTCTGCTAGACAACACAACAGCTGACACAGAGGTTAACTGGCTTGTCATTGATCTATTCTTAACTACCCGCTTCTTGCGCTGGCCCAAAGTCTGCAGCCTTACATTTTCCTTATTATCTGACTGCAGTTCCAATTGGCCAATTGTCTGGCCATTTGAAGCTGTTCAGCTGCCCCATTTGTTTTGAAGACAGGGCCGCTAGCGGGCCCATTGATTTACCATTATCTGCTGAACGCTTCCCCTGAGCCCAGACCTATAACCACTGAATGTGTCTGGGCTGCTTTGAGCTTTCAGACATATTCACATCCAGCTGTGTGTCAAAAAGGCTGACAAGCAACGCACATTTCATTATCTTTCAATGATTTACAATTACCCCATCCCACTACCTCCTGATTCACTCCACTGTGTCACAGTTTCAAATCTGTACTGTACATGCTCAGAGTTTGAAATTGGCTATATTTTTCATTTGATTGTGTAGTAGGCAGGTTTTCATGTCATCCCATAGATATGATTCACCAAACCTGTCCCTATCCTAAAATCCAGATGTGCTAATCAGATGCAGATGAATGAATGTTATGTTCACTGATTAAACCAAAATAGGTTGTGTAAAGGAGATTCTTATAACATTTTAACATTTTTGCTGTCAGAAATGTAAGCTTTAATCCACTTTGAACTTGCACTCTGACGCAAAAGTCAGAGGATTTTTTTAATACAGGTAAGGTATAATGTAATGCATGTTTTATCAACCGCTTGACCTACAGTATTTATTATCATTATTAATATTAACAACAACAGTGACCCTTAGTCATGAGACCAAAACAGACATCCAGTTTGGAGAGCTTCAGTAATAACATAGGTAAAGCTTAAATTACAGTAATTACAGCTGAAAGGTTTGTGTCTGATTGAATATCCAGAGAGAGAGAAATGGTGGGAGACAGCAGAGCTAGAGCAGAGCCTTCCCTGACTAACTTTGGGCATTGCTCTTTGCTGCTTTGTATATGTTATCATTCCAGCATCTGTGTGTTTTTGTGTGTGTGTGTGTGTGTGTGTGTGTGTGTGTGTGCCTTTGTACTACTTGCATTATGGGGACACAAACCTGTTAACACACTCACATTGTGGGGACTCGGCCATCTTTGTTGGGGTCAGAGGCTGGTCCCCACAAGGAAATCAATGAATTTTAGGGTGGCAACACGGTTTAAGGTTAGGTGTTAGGGTTAAGCAAGTAGTGTTTAGGGTTATGGTTAGGATAAGCATACAGAAAATGAATGTAAGTCAATGTAAAGACCCCACAAGGAATGAAAACACATTGTGTGTGTGAATGTTGGTGTTACACACAGACCTGACTAGTTATGGTAAAGCTCAGTTACAAAAGTTTCAGAACACTCTGTTTTGTTCAGTTGTTACTGCTATGATTCAACAGCTGAACACACCAGTGGCATTCTTTCTACAACTGTTGCACAAATGTGTTGCACTTGTCGATTGCCTTGCTCAGGGCCACTGACATAGGGGGAACACCAGGTCAGTGTGTGTTTATATAAACTGCCACAATAACTTGTCAGAATACATATTTGTGTAGATTTAAGTAGCCTGTGGAGATCATCTTGTCCCAGGCATGAGCAAGACACACATTAGGCCTGGCTTTGCTTTCATTCTTCACTTGGAACAGTGCACTGACCACTCCATCATTTATAGCCTATTGTCTTGTTCTTTTTTTCTACATAGCCTGAAGGTGTTTGTCTGTATGTTTGTTTTTACTGCTATAGACTGAAACCCTGTAAGGTCTGACTTCCTTTCTTAATTGCATTTTTCCAAATAATGCTTCAGAGGGTGTAGTCTTTTCCAGCACTGCCTTTGTAAAGATGAAATAAATAAATAAATAAAAAAGATGGGACACCTGTCGGAATTGTTTGCATCCGTTTTCAACACTTGATTTATTTCCACTGCCACAGGAAAGATGTAACTTGGTATTGATCCCTGATAAAAGCCTGTTTGCTATGAAATTTACATACATTTTTAGTTTTTGTTGACTTTTTGTTTTGTTCTGCAAAAGCCTATTTATCAAATGAAAAGACAGGAAATTGGATAGGAGGAAATGAGATAGAATCCAATGTATATGTGAATGCATATGATATTTATATATATATATAGTATATGAATACACTATATAGCATTTATAACATCTGTAGATAGTGAGAATGTTTTCCTAATTTAATGAAAAGTCAGGCATTAACATGCACTTGTGCAAGCCTGCTTTTTCTTTGAGTACAAAATCAGCATTTCTACTCATTTGTTTTTACTCTTTCTCCACAAGTGTCATTTGTAATAAGCAATGCACTTTGGTTGTGGAGAAATCCTGCAGGCTTTGGCAAAGCTTAAAGAACACCAGTTAGTTTCCTTTTTTTATATGGGGTTGATTAAATAGATATCTGACCTACTGCTTGCTGCAAAGCTTTCAAAGATATAAGCGTTGTCCTTGCAGGTTCAATCAACTTTTTCTGAGATGCTGTGTGTTCAGTCATAGCCTGAAAGTGGCTATGATGGATGCAGGTCCTGTGTATCTGCACTATTTCTGTGTATGTTTATAGTGCCATTGTGCACATCACAGCTGCACTGCCTCCAGGTAATACAGAAATATTGTTTGGATTATTTGGCTGCAGTGTGAGTCAAATTAGATTTTTGTATCTGAGATGTCTCCTAATGTATCCTGGCATGATTGGATAGTAAAAGTCACCATGAAATGGCAACAACCTCAGCCAGTGTGAATTAAAGTGGCTCAAGGTGGCTTTTTTTCTCAGTGTGGCACCCAATGTGTCTGGCTAGGAAGGTGTCTACATGATGATCTAATCTTAATATAATTAGATCTAATCTGACCTGATGTAATGTAATCTGATGCTGTTAACATGCAAAATGATTGGATTTCTTAGAGTAGTGACCGGCTACTTGAGTTGGTGGATTTCTGCAGGCGTAGACACCCTCCTCCGACACCAGTGAATATCCAAGAAACAAACATTGAGAGAGTGGACTCCTATAAGTACATGGGTGTTCATCTCAACAATAAACTGGACTGGTCACACAACACTTATGCGCTTTGAAAGAAAGGTCAGAGCAGGCTCTACCTGCTGAGGAGACTAAGGTTGTTTGAAGCACAGGGAACACTTCTGAGGACCTTCTTTGACATAGTGGTGGCATCAGCCATATTCTGTGGAGTGGTCTGCTGGGGCAGCAGCATCTTGACCATGGACAGGAAAAGACTAGGCAAACTGGTCAAGAGGGCCAGCTCTGTCCTGGGAAGTCCTCTTGACCCAGTGCAGGTGGTGGGTGACTGGAGGATGTTAGCTTGGCTAACATCCCTGCTTGAGAAGGGCTTTACCTGCTGAGGAGACTAAGGTTGTTTGAAGCACAGGGAACACTTCTGAGGACCTTCTTTGACATAGTGGTGGCATCAGCCATATTCTGTGGAGTGGTCTGCTGGGGCAGCAGCATCTTGACCATGGACAGGAAAAGACTAGGCAAACTGGTCAAGAGGGCCAGCTCTGTCCTGGGAAGTCCCCTTGACCCGGTGCAGGTGGTGGGTGACAGGAGGATGTTAGCTTGGCTAACATCCCTGCTTGAGAAGGGCTTCCACTCCATGCATGAGACTCTGACAGCACTGGGCAGCTCCATCAGTGACAGACTGCTTCACCCCAAGTGTGCAACAAAGTGTTACTGAAGGTCTTTCCTTCCTGCTGCTATCAGGCTGTACAACCAGCTTTGTTCCCAATAGACCCCGCCTGCCCAAGTTGACCTCTCACAGCTGTAACTACTCAGCATACCAGTGCTCAATATTGTTTTACTTTTTAATATTATATTTATATTGTTTATGTATATAATACCTTGTTTATCAAATTTCTATTCTTAACACCGAGTACCTAGTTTTTATGCCTTTGTGGCTATAGCTTTGTGAATTTCCCTGTTGTGGGATTAATAAAGGTTCATCTTATCTTATCTCATCTCATCTCATCTTAAACACCAGTAGCACTTTTGTTATACTGTCATTAGACAAGCATATTTTACAACTGAACAAATATTTGAAGAAAGTTTGGTGTACATTTATCACTACGGCCTTCTTCTTCTGTTTGTCCACCACTACTATGTCTGGTTGGTTGGCCATTACCAGTTTGTCAGTTTGTATCTGGAAGTCCCACAGGATCTTAGCTTGGTCATTCTCAACTACCTTTGGAGGTGCATCCCATTTTGACATTGGGACTTCCAGCCTGTACTCGGCACAGATGTTTCTGTACACTATGCCAGCCACTTGGTTATGGCGTTCCATGTACAGTCATGTGAAAAAATTAGGACACCCTTTGAAAGCATGTGTATTTTGTAACATGTTTTAATATATGGTTATTTAATCTCAATTTTAACAATACAGAGAGATTAAAGTAATACAACTAAACAAGTAAAACTGAAGAAAAGTCTTTTCAAGATCTTCTGTAAATGTAATTCTACAAAAATGCCTATTCTAACTGAGGAAAAAGATAGCACACCCTCACATGTATGCCCTCTTAAAATGGCTCAAATCACACACAGGTATATCACACCAGGTGCACATAATTAGTAGATCGTTACTCAGCATTTTGAATGAGGCTTGCCCCATCTAAACCTCAAACATTTAGTTTGGTGTGCTCCTGACTGTTGAAGTGAGAGTGAGCACCATGGTGAGAGCAAAAGAGCTGTCAGAGGCCTTCAGAAAAAACATTGTAGCAGCCTATGAGTCTGGTAAAGGATTTAAAAAGATCTCAAAAGATTTTGAAATCAGCCATTCCACTGTCCGGAAGATAGTCTACAAGTGGAGGGCTTTCAAAACAACTGCCAACATGCCCAGGTCTGATCGCCCCAGCAAGTTCACCCCAAGAGCAGACCGCAAGATGCTAAAAGAGGTCTCCAAAAACCCTAAAATGTCATCTCGAGACCTACAGCAGGCTCTGGCTACTGTTGATGTAGAAGTGCATGCCTCTACAATCAGAAAGAGACTGCACAAGTTTAACTTGCATGGGAGGCGTGCAAGGAGGAAACCTTTGCTCTCTAAGAGAAACATCAAGGCCAGACTGACATTTGCCAGAGAGAATGTTGACAAAGACCAGGACTTCTGGAATAATGTTCGTTGGACAGATGAGTCCAAAATTGAATTATTTGGACACCAGAGCAGAGGACATGTTTGGCATAAACCAAACACAGCATTCCAGGAAAAGAACCTCATACCAACTGTGAAGCATGGAGGTGGAAGTGTCATGGTTTGGGGCTGCTTTGCTGCAGCAGGACCTGGTCAGCTCACCATCATAGAATCCACCATGAATTCTACTGTGTATCAGAAGGTGCTTGAAGAACATGTGAGACCATCGGTTAGAAAATTAAAGCTGAAGCGGAACTGGACCATGCAACATGACAATGACCCAAAACATACTAGTAAATCAACCAAAGACTGGCTGAAAAAGAAGAAATGGAGAGTCCTGGAATGGCAGAGTCAAAGTCCAGACCTGAATCCCATTGAGATGCTGTGGGGTGACTTGAAAAGGGCTGTACATGCAAGAAACCCCTCAAACATCTCACAGCTGAAACAATTCTGCATTGAGGAGTGGGATAAAATTCCCTCAGACCGATGTCAGAGACTATTAGATGGCTACAAGAACCGTCTCACTGCAGTTATTTCAGCCAAAGGAGGTAACACTAGCTATTAGGGGCTAGGGTGTGCTAACTTTTTCCTCAGTTGGAATAGGCATTTTTGTAGAATTACATTTACAGAAGATCTTGAAAAGACTTTTCTTCAGTTTTACTTGTTTAGTTGTATTACTTTAATCTCTCTGTATTGTTAAAATTGAGATTAAATAACCATATATTAAAACATGTTACAAAATACACATGCTTTCAAAGGGTGTCCTAATTTTTTCACATGACTGTAGGTGGAAACAGATGATTCTCTGTGGCGACCCCTAACGGGAACAGCCGAAAGAAGAAGAAGAAGAACAAAAACAAGTAAAGTGATATCGGTGACTTTTATCTGGACATGTCTAGGCAACTTGGATGGAGTTGCTGATCAGGAGTTTGGATGTTGTGACCATCGCAGTGCCTCCTGCCCTGCCTGCAGCCATCACTGCTGGCACCATCTATGCCCAGCACAGGCTGAAGAGCCAGGGTGTCTTCTGCATCAGTCCACCACGCATCAATGTATGTGGCAAGGTCTCACTCTTCTGCTTTGATAAGGTGAGGAGGAATTTAACAGAGGTTTACTCTGTGTGTAGACGACAGTCATGGCCACTTCACATGTCCATTTGAATTTCATCAGAATACTTTTGTTTTCCCAGACAGGAACTCTGACGGAGGAGGGGCTGGATGTTTGGGGAGTGATGGAAGGGGGACCTGCTGGGTTCTCAGAGCTGGTCCCAGAGCCCAGACTCTTGCCCCCAGGCCTCATGCTCTCTGGATTAGCCTGCTGTCACACTGTGACGCTGCTGGAAGGTCAGCCCCTCGGAGACCCTCTGGAGCTGAAGATGGTCGAGTCCACTAGTTGGGTATGATAGCATAAAGCTTTTTTTTTTTTTTTTTTTTTTTTTTTTTTTTTATTACTTTGTTCACAGATGCCTGAATCAGTTCATTATAAGTTTCAAGCTCTTAGAACATTTGGACTATGAGCATTGCATGTCGTTTCCTTCAGCTGTGTGACTATTGAGTTACTAAAAACCTGAGACAGATCAATGAACGTAATCAGCAACTCTTGGCTTGTTCCTGCTGCTGTGCCCAGTCTAACCTGCTGTTTGTCCTGTGTGCAGGAGGCAATGTGGGGAGCCGGCACGAGGCACGGGGTCCAGCCCTGAGGAGGCGTCCTGCGGCTGGGAGGAGCGTGGCCCTCCTGTGGCCCTCCTGCGGCGCTCTGGGACACTCCTACTAAGATGTCCCTCAGCTTTATATGTGTGTTTGTGTGTGTGTGTATAGTACACATTACATTAAGTGTATTATTAGATTGAACTAGTAGAAATGAGTGGATGGAAATGGAGCAAAACAAAAGACAATGAAAATTTGAACTCTGTATAAAGTTCATCCTTTGGTCACAGGTCAGACATCAGTTGGAGGGTGGACGGGACACACGGCCAACAGCGCTTGCCAAAAGGGATACAGACTGACAGCAGGACAATCAAATCAAATCAAATCACAACAAAAGTCGTCTCAGGACACTTTACAAAGTAAGGTCTAGACCTTACTGTTATCAATATTATTACATAGGGAAAACCCAACAAATCCCCCTTGAGCAAGCACTTGGCGACAGGATAATATTGCCTAAAGGGAGCATGTATAAAGTGAAGAGAATTGGACCTAACACAGAGCCCTGTGGAATGCCGTGACTAACTTCAGTTTGTGTGGAACATTCGTCATTAACATGAACAAATTGAAATCTTTCTGATAAATAAGATTTGAACCAACTTAGCGCAGTTCCTTTAATCCCAATAACATGTTCAAGTCTCTGCAGTAAGATGCTGTGATCAATGGTGTCAAAAGCAGCACTGAGATCTAAGAGGACAAGTATGGAGACAAGTCCTTTGTCCGAGGCTAGGAGAAGATCATTGGTGACTTTCACCAATGCGGTTTCTGTACTATGATGGACTCTAAATCCTGACTGAAAATCCTCAAATCATTCTTGTGCAAGTGGTCACATAACTGCTTTGCAACAGCTTTTTCAAGGATTTTGGAAATAAATGGGAGATTGGATATTGGTCTATAATTAGCTAGGACACCTGGGTCAAGAGTAGGCTTTTTGAGTAGAGGTTTAATTACTGCAAGTTTAAAAGCCTGTGGAACATAACCTGTTAATAGAGAGAGGTTAATCAGATCTAGTATGGATGTGTTGATTAGGGGAAAGACGTCTTTGAGCAGCCTGGTCGGGATGGGGTCCAGGAGACATGTTGATGATTTAGATGAAGCAATTGTTGAGGTCAACTCAGAGAGATCTATAGGGGAGAAGTAGTCCAAGTATAAATGAGGTCTTACAGATGTTTCTAAAGCCACTGTAGTAGATGGCACATCTGTGAGAGCTGTGGGAGTGGTCCGACCAATTTTTTTCTCTAATAGTTGTGATTTTATTTGTAAAGAAGCTCATGGAGTCATTGCTGCTGAGATCTAAGGGAATGTTAAGCTCAACAGCACTGTGGCTCTTTGTCAGCCTGGCTACACTGGTGAAAAGAAACCTGGGGTTGTTCTTATTTTCCTCAATCAGTGATGAATAAAATGTGGTTCTGGCACTATGAAGGGCTTTCTTATATGTTATTAAACTATCTTTCCAGGCTATGAAAAACTCTTCTGACTTAGTGGAGCGCCACCTCCTTTCCATTTTTCGTGATGCCTGCTTTAGGGAGCGGAGCTGCGAGCTGTACCATGGGGCTAGCCTTCTCTGTTTCACTGCCTTCCTTTTCAGAGGGGCAATGGTATAAGTGTATTACGCAGGAAGGCTGCAGTACTATCAACAAGATTATCGATTTGTGTGGGAGTAAAGTTAAGGTGGCCTCCTTCCACTGTGTTGGCAAACGGCACTGAAGTAGATAAAGACGGAATTATTTCCTTAAACTTGGTAACAGCATTGCCAGATAGACATCTGCTGTAGTGGAATTGTTTCCCACATAGAGTATAATCCATTAATGGAAATTCAAAAGTTATTAGAAAATGGTCAGACAGAAGAGGGTTATGGGGAAAAACTATTAAGTGTTCAGTTTCGATGCCATATGTCAGAACAAGATCAAGAGTGTGATTAAAACAGTGAGTGGAATCAGGAATATTTACCTTCCTGTGCTTCCCTGGAACTGTAACATGGACAATAACGCACACGCTCACACACACACAATCGTTGCACACATATGAACATGCAAATACACACAGATACACATACATAATCTCACACATACACACATGGAGTCTGTTGCCAACACTGGCTGGTCAGCTGGTGTGACTCCATATGTCACAGCATTAGCAGCACCATGAGTGTTTATTGGGTGAGCTACAAACCTGTAAGAAGCTGCAGGCACACTAAGGAAGCACCCAGGTCTCATTTCAGGAAAGTACTGTACAAATAAGTACAGACACACATTTGTGCACACACACATTTTTTTTCTCTTCAGTGTGTTTTGTTCTTGTTTGACCCTGGCAAATGAACGGAAATGACACCCAGATCTCGATTTTCCTGCAAGAGAGCACAGTGCTAAATTCGTGTCTAAACCTCAGGCATGAGGTGAATATGGGCGAGTTCAGCTGTATTTTGCAATTTTGTGCAGCAGGCCAGGCATTACAGGGTGCATTTTTTATGGGGGTTGGAATACATTATTATAGGGAGGAATACATCAAGAGCAGGTAGAGTCAGGGCTGGCTTTAGTTATTTCCAATCAAACCGGCTTCTCTCATCTCCTTTAAAGAGCAGGGCGGAAACCTGACTAACTGATGTCACTGATGTCAGGACATGGAAATATATGAGAGGAAAGATTTTTTTCCCTGGTATCTTCTTCTCCTGCCAGTTATGTACTCCATTCCTAGATCAACAGTGACAAAACTATTTATATAAGTACTGGACATAAATCTTCACCCACTGGTCTGCTAACATCACTGGCCAGCTTTTATTCATGGAAGAAAGTCAGTCTCTGGTCCTGTAACCAGCAGCAATTATATAGTGTAATTTAGTCACAGCTGCATCCAGTGCAAAAAATCCACAGGGGTCTCACATGTAACTTTATAAACATTTCACAGTTGTTAAAATAATACAGTAAAATCATATTGTAGCACTGGGGGCAGAGAGACACTTGGCGGGTCTGACAGAATGCCTTAAGGGTGGGATGTATTTAGTTTCGGCTTGACAGGGGTTGTTCGGTGTTCTGGTTCTGGCATCAAGGCCCCAGATAGCATCCACAAGTTAAGAGTGGTTGGTCTTACTTTGGTTGATGTGGGAATTACATAATACAAAGACTTCTGGGTGTTTTCTCTCTTCTTCCATGTGAACAGCTGTAAGGTTCTGCTTGTGTTTGACAGCTGGAGTGTTTCACAGCTTCCACTGCCTGATAAAGCACCAAACTTGGCTGCTGAAGCAATATATAGTATACTGTGTAGGACAGAGGGCAGCCCGGCTTAGGTGTTACTGTGCATGCCTCACCTTCAGTATTCTCCATATTTATCATCTGTTCTGTCTGACTTAATGTTGCAGATTTTACTATGATTTTGAAGATTGGTACCACTCTCATGCCTGTATGTCAGGACTTGAAGCTATGAGGCCTGACTCTGTGTAGAGTATCAAAACATCAGCCTACCAGATCCTCTACAGCTCATTAATTAACACATCATCTCTTGTTTATTTAATTTTCACAGAAGTACAAGTGAAAACCTTTGGACAGAGCCAGGCTAGTTGTTTCCCCATGTGTACTACTGCAGAAGGACGTGAGCAAGATAGTGAGACCTTATTTATAGCTCAAAGCTGCCAGAACTGATCAGTACAGTGTTGAGTCAAGTATTAGTTGGGTAGTGTTGTGCTTGTTCCCAGAACTAACATGGTTATTTGGCTGCAACCTGTGGCTCTCCTGGGTCAAAGAGCAGTGAAAAAGTAAATTGTGCAAATTGTACTCTGAGAATTTAGCTGGATGTGAAAATGTTTCAGCACACTAACAACAGCACTTTCAGGATGTGAAATGTTAAGACTGACTCCTGCAGGGTACCATCAAGAGATCTACACACTGCTACCTTCATGTGTTTTAAAACAAGGAAAGATTAACACGTCTTAATCTATGATGCTATATGGAAATATAAGTTTACCCTGTGGCAGTAAAACATCTTAAACAAATGACAAAGCAGTAGGAATGTAACGTTTAGTGATATTTGATAACACTATTTCTACCCAAGGCAAATTTTACTTTAAAGAAATGTTTAGTTTCACGATGCATGTTTGTTTCTAACAAAGAAATAAGTTACCAAATTTTTGAAGGAGTCTGGGGACTTTGTATACAGCTCATTAAATGTTACACATGGCCAAAGAATTGGAGTGACAGCCAGCAGCAGCCTAAAATTTAGAAGTGACTATTGCAGTAAATCCAACTTTATGTACAGGGTGGGTGAAACTTGTAGTATCACTGGAGTTATGATGAAAACAGTCTCTAAATAGACAATAGTAAATCGTCAGCTGAGTGTTTTGGTGAATCCTGTTGTTAGTTCGCTACAACTGCCGTAGAGACATTACTGTGACCCAAAGTCACTCGGCTGTTGCTAGACATTTCAAAGAAGCTGATCGTTAAGCCTTAACATTATCATTCTCTGCCACACAACAGATTGTAAAAGCACAAAGAGGTGATAGCAAAACAGTAAAACCTGAACTTCTCTTTTCTTTTACTGAAAACAACACTGTTTATTGTTATCTGCATCAAAACATGAAAACCTTTAGTGATTGTCAGTCTAACACCCTGGTTTTCAGCATCAGGTCATACTGCAATACATGGCTGCCCTGAGAGTTTGTTTCTACTGCATTTTGACAGTGGTATCTGCATTTTCCCACAGACATCCCCGTGCATAAGAAGAAGCATGAGCATAACACATACATCTTGGTGAGTAGCCTCTGGGGCTTATCTTCGTTTTATGGCAGCTTTATCAGGTATTTATCTCAAGATCAGTTTCCACCTCATGCTCTAATTGTGAAACATCTGATTTAATCACAGTGTTGCTTTGCACACAATGTTGGTGCCTCTCCTTAGGCTTGGCTCCACACAGTGCTCAGTTTGCTGACAGTGTTGCTTTGCACACAATGTTGGTGCCTCTCCTTAGGCTTGGCTCCATACAGTGCTCAGTTTGCTGACCCACTTCTGTGCAGTGGTGCACCACTGAACAAGCATGAGACTGCAATCTAAATGAAGATGACGTGCATATAACAATGAGGAA